TGTTTTTGAAGGAAATCATTTCTGTTCTTCTTCATAAGGTCAGCCTGTAACCAGGAAGAGTTTATATTCTTTGCACTGGCGACATGTGATCATATCTATTGAAAATAATATCTGCATGTCCAGCGCAGCCTTCTTACTTATAATCTGCTTTGCATAAAAACTTCAACAAGCTGCCACGTCACTGCACCACAGCTGCAGGCAAAACAATCCATTTATATCCCTATATAAAAGCAAAATAATCAACATTAGAAGATCATTGGTCATATAAAAAAATAAAACAGGATGTTTTTCCATTTTTAAAAAGCTCGTGTGCTGCTTTACAGCATCTACCTGCTGCACAACAGATTCTCACGTGTGTGTGTTCACGCTCGACTGCGCTGGTTAGCACTTATTGCTCGTTAAGTCTCTGCACCCTTAACAGGTCCTCAGCAGTCCAATGGGATTACACCGCTGAGCCGATCCAATCTCCCTCCCTCCTGTCTCCTCCTCCCACCTCCCCCTGCCACTGACTGGCTTGGACCCATGGGGTGACACCAGCGCTCCTGTCGCCTGTCATGTCAATTAGCTCTCTGATGGTAAGCACTAGGACAGAGCAGGCACCTGAGGAGCTGCGCTGTAATGCTGCCGCCTGATCTGGAGCTAAAAAAAGGGGCTAATAAACATTCAACAGGCCAGAGGACCAATTAGGAATTTATGAGTAAATACTGAAGAAAAGGACTGTTTATTTTACTTTAATTCTAGATTCAGAAAGTTTTCACATTAAATACATACACATATATATACATATATATATATATATGTATATATGTATATATATATATATATATCTCTTAAAATAAATAGGTTCATGTGAGAGAGACCTCTCTGTCTGCAGCACACTGACCTCATGAGCTGGTTGTACTTGGCCAGCCGCTCAGATCTGCAGGGAGCGCCCGTCTTAATCTGCAACAGTAAGATAAACATTATCCTGCAGGTGACCAACAGAATATTAAAACATAACACCAAGAACTCTCTGGACTTCTGGCTTCACGGGGAAACACGTGAGTGATAGTTTAGAATGAAGCTGGACAGTTGTGGAGCTGTAGCCCAAAAATGTAAATGTAGTGAGGTGAACGAGAAGTTTAGCTGGAGGATAGCATCATTCAGCCACCCTAACCAGCTTCTTTGTACAAATATGGAAGTTTGTATTGTGGTGTACCTGCACTTCAGCTGTGTAATTATCAGCATGCATTAGCACAATGCTAATATGTTATGGGCTAAAGGTCATACTAAAGAATTAAGGTCATAAGAGAAAATTATTTAAATTGGTTATTGTTACTGTATTTGCAAAAGATAAAATAAAATGTGTGTTGCTGTGTATAGAAGCCGAGAATTGATAATTATTTTAGGCATTTAGTTCCATTCACTTATAGTCAGTTAGTCTAAACAATGATACAAAACAATATAAGGCTGAAGTTAAATTTCTCATGAAGAAATGCACTAATATCTTTATTTTATCTTCTTCAGTTTACTTCACAATTTATTTTATATATTTATAACAAACTTACAAAACTTAATATTCACTGTAAGTTTAGTTTACTGACATTTTAAAGGCAACAAGAAAAAAATAACTAAACTAACTTCTTACATCCTTACAAGGACAAAAACCTGAAACCTATATCTACATCAGCCATAACATTGACTTTGGTTTGGAGGAGAGACTTAAACGTTGGTGTCAGCTTCTAAACGTACCTGTCCAGTGCAGAGTCCCACCACCAGGTCAGCAATGAAGGTATCCTCTGTTTCTCCTGAGCGATGGCTGACCATCACACCCCAACCATTAGCCTGGGCCAGCTTACACCTGAAGGACAAAGTTTATTTCCAAGCACTCTGTTAGTCATTTTAATAAGGATAATAATTGATAATAAAACTGTTCCCACAGACAAACTTCCCTTTGCTAAGAAAGATCTCTACCTGATAGCAAAGTTACATCTCCAAAGCCGTCATTACTTAAATTTTTTCTAACTCTTTCAACCAAAACTAGACAGCTACAAAAGACAGTCAGACAGCGGTTTCCCGGTGTTGAAATGTTCACTGGGTAACGTTTGACACCCTGGGACAAGAACATACAAAGCCGAGAGACAACATAATTTTAGCTATGCCTACAAGAAAGGCTAAACTCTGCTTTCTTTCAACCCTAAAATCCAACAATGACATAAATCCCTAAAAGCGACCACTAAGAGTCAGTTTTTATTTAGGTGGACAACTGAAGAGGGTTGGATGCTAACCACGAGGGGTGGGGGGAAAATGGATACTGTGTAGTATGGTGATATTTTGTTTGCTAATAATGTATCGATACAGGGACAGCAGAAATCGATATTTTGTTACAAAAA